GTAAATTGAACGCAATGTTTTCATGACCGAGCTAGGGCTGCTGTAATATGCTAACAGAGATCCATAAATCCTAAAAACAGTTTTCAATCAATTGGTGCATAGAAGAGTAATTGTGGAGAGTAACTGAAAAATCAAAGTAACAAATTCTGAAAACAGGGTCATTTGTGTTTATTTTTTAAAAGAAATTAGAGCATTTAAGGCCAACAGATCAACAAGGAAGACTACTCTGAAAGTACATGAGACATCTCATAAGTCTGCTGCAAGGCATTTGCAAGATTTTTGCCTCTGAGTCAACCTGTAAAGCTATTCATAGGAAAAAAGATTTTAGAGGAAATAGACATTTATACAAAATTATAAAATGCTTGCTTTAAGAATTATTGCTTTAGAAAGGATGCAAACATCCATATTTTGGGATAGTACCACTTAGGCCTTTCAAACAATAGCTAAAGGTTTGTTAAAATGGAGCTCGGTGCATTTAAAAAACAGTACTACAAAAAAGAGTCCGTCCCATTCCTGAGTATGCTAAAGCTATAAAACATAAGGAGCACTGGGAAGGCAGCAGTTTCTCACAGTGAGAGGTCTAAGGGCATTTCCTTTCTACACACTGCTTTCCTCCTTCTTCATACTCTTGTTTAGAGATCCACATCTGCTGAAAAGTACCCTGCAAAAAAAAAAAAAAAAAAAAAAAAGTTGAATCAAGGTTGCAACTAGGACATGATGTGCTGAGAGCAGGACAAACAAGCCAGGCTTTCCATTTTTTCCAAAAACCTGAATAAAGCCATGGCTGCCTTGATGCCTCTTACTACTAGGTTTGGTAAAAGGCTGGGATAAGAACAGGGAAAACTACCTTATCAACTTGCAGGATCAGGCCCAAAGATGCAGTAAAAAGAATCTCTCAAGAACCCCACATCCTTTACTCTTTGGAAGCGAGGGAAAAGCAGCTAAATTCAGCCACCTTCAGTTCAGGCATAGAACATTCTGTACTTTCCATGAATATCCCCTCTCCTACCACATACAGCACTACTCACTGCTCTGGGAGTAGCAGCTGCTACAGAAGTCATAAGCTACTTCTGTAGGAGTCTCTTTATTCACCTAATGATCCTTTCCCCAGGCTGTACTTACCAGAGAAGCCAAAATTGAACCACCAATCCATGAACTAAACCTCCGCTCCACTGTCGTGTTGTTTGCTATCAGCTTGAGCCGCATGCTCTGAACAGAGGGGGAAAAAATGTTAACAAGATCAAACTGAAAGTGGGGTGTGCAGCTGAAGGTTCAAGCCCTTTTCTAACCCTGAAAGGGATGGGATGGAGAGAACTTGGGACTTGCACTAAAGTCATTATTACAGCCGATTCAAAGAGACCGATTCTGTTGCTTTCTTCATGATATGAAGATTGTTTGCCCTGCACTTTGGAGGTCACTGCAGTGCTCCAAAAAGTCTAAGCCTGTTAAATATAAGAAATGGGTTGCTGATAACAGTCCATCTGCAAATTGTATGTGTGGTCCAGAGAACAAATCTCGGCTACAAAGCTAACAAGAACTCGAAAGGAATTTTGCCTTAATAGTCATAGGAAATTGCCACCATTCAAAAATAGTTAGGTTTTCAACAATTATTATTTGCAAGCAGAAAGGTAGGAACACAGTATTTTCAAACCAATTTAAATACCTGCACAAGCCTCTTTTACATTACTTATTTCCAAATTGCCCTGTATTTTTTTTTTAATAAAAGATAGGAACTAGTATCCCTCATTTTGTCCATAAAAAGGCTTCAGCAGTCTGAGCACAACATCAGATACTGGAAGTCCCAAAGCTGTAATCCTGAATTTGTCATTAATTCCCTTTGTATCTTTCATGAATAGTGAGGTCTTTCCTTACTTGGTCCAACATGAACTATTTGGATAAAAGCTCTGTGGAGAAGCTACAACTTTCCCGGTTCTGTAAGCTGGTCAGTCTATAGCATCTATTTTTTTTTTTTTTTGGTAAAACGTTTTAAATATTGAGCTCCTAATGAAATCAAAAGTTGCTGTGTATGTCTGTAACTACTATATAGGTCGGTGGATTTAAAAAAAAAAAAAAAAAAAATCACCTTAAGTAACAATTTAAGAAGTCTTACCGGTGGGGTTTTCTGAGAGAGTTCCCTGTTCAATCTGTCTGTAAAACTCTGTATAAGAGTATTTCCTCCTGCTACAATCACACTGCCATAAAGGCCCTGGGAAGAAAAAACAAAACTCCAAGAGTTTATTTGGGATGTATTTGGAGAGCATTTCTTTACCAATACAAAGTAAAAAAAGAGAATGGACCTGGTGACCGTCTATAAACTCACTAGGGGGAACCAGAAGGGTATGGGGGAGACGCTGTTTCCCCTAGCCCCTGCTGGCATAACAAGGAATAATGGGCACAAGTTGATGGAGAGGAGGTACAGATTGGACATCCGAAAAAACTACTTCACAGTCAGGGCGGCTAGGAGCTGGAACCAACTTCCAAGGGAGGTGGTGCTGGCCCCTACCCTGGGGATCTTTAAGAAGAGGCTGGATACTTACCTGGCTGGACTCATTTGAGTCCCGTTTTTGTTTTTAGGGTGAGTGGTTTTGTTTGTTTGTTTGTTTGTTTTTGGGTTGTTCTCCCGCCCTGGCGGGGGGTCGGGCTAGAAGATCTATTAGGTCCCTTCCGACCCTGAAACTATGAAACTATGAACTATGAATGCTACTAGTACTTACAGCCAGAAACATACCATATTACTTGACATAAGATATAATTCAGCATATAAAATAGATTATACTATGAATAGTAGCTTTATCTACTTTAAGAAAGAAGTTTATGATTAAGCTATACAAGGGTATGGGGAGGTAGTATGAAAACTGATCCCACACAATTCCCATTTGGTAATTTTACTTTTTTGTTTCTAGTCTGTGCTCATATCTTGTCTTGTAACTAGATGTACCAACTACAGAGACAACAGGAGGAACTAATATTTCATGAGGAAAAAAAAAGTGTACATCCCAAATCAAATACATTTTACATATAATACAGCAGGCAAAGACAAAAGGTGAATTGGTAGGTCAGATCATGACAACTTGACAAATAAAGAAAAGGAGTGGGGTAGCCCATATGCAGAGAGGGTCAGAAGCGCATGCAGCCAAATGGGCAATGCTCTTCCGCAGATAGTGATGGTGGGGGTGGACTCAAAAATGCAAAACGCTTTGTGATGAGATGCTCTCTCTTTTATCACCTGAACTGTATAACATAGGAATAGCTATCCTCAGACATGTCATATATATGTTTACATATTCCCCATTGTAGATACACAGCTTTTAGAGGTGAATGCTACAAGCACCATAAAATAACTTCTTAACTTCTGAAGGTCCATCGGTCTTCAACTACAATATATTTTAATTATGAACATTACAAACAAGACCATCTCTGCTGAAAATAAACCATGTCTGACTGACACTCACCGGTCTGATGTCTATATCGCACATTCCAACACTTGTGGTAACAACATGGCTCACACCCAGCATTGTATTGCCAGATAAGCCCTGGAACAAAATTATTAAGCCACAAGTCAGCGCTTCAAAACACTAAGGCATATTAAAGCAATATATAAATATTTATTCCTTATCCAGAGCCAACAGAGACTGGGATAAAGATTTATCTCAATTTGTAGTCTATTTTGTCACTATGGTATCTCAGCACCACACAGCTTTATTTAAACAAGTACCTGGTACCCTGAGTTAAATTTGTTCTCCTCCACCCAGGCATAGGTTGCAGCCCCAGAGAAGACAGAATATGAACACAAAAATGTTCTGCATCATTACAACAAACAAAGGAAAGGTGGCTCTGAACTACAAAGACTGAATAAACTATGTCTGCATATCTGTACGTGCTACTTTCATTTTTTTTACCTTTACATTGGAAGGATCAAATAATCCTTCTGGAATTTTTAGACGTTCTGCACCAAAGTCACAATTATAACCATTGGGGAACTCGTAATGAACTGTCGGCATCTGTGCAGCGACCCTGCAGGTAGATAATGGAGCATTAGTCATTAAGTTCTGTTGCTCTCTGTCAATATGTACAGTGCAGCAGCTAATTAAAAAAATATAAACCACAAATTCTAAAGAAACACAAACATGTTAATAATAGGATCTGTGTTTTTGGTAACCTATACTAGAATTTCTTGTACCTTGGTAAATCAAATGCAATCTCTAAAATCCAGATATACATTGTATTCCTAACTCCAAAAAATGATTTTGTCTAACATCAAACTTTTGTAATGAGCTAAAACCGGTACATCTTCCATTTTTAGGAAATTTACATCCGTCACACCATACACACAGCAAAGTTTTACAGAGAAAACAGTGACATACTGTTCATCATAGGTTGAATCGGATACTTGAAGGACAGAGGCTTGGAAATCCTGAATTACACACTATGGAGAGAAAAACAAAAGGTTATTCCAATGTCGACCTCACTTACACAATATGAAACAAGGAAAAAAGCCGTTAAAAAAGACCAAACATATTTGAAACTGATTACATGTTTATATAGCTTATTTAGGGGTTTTGGTTGTAGCCAAGTTGGTCTGAGGACATAGGCAGGCAAGCTTCTTTGAGAAGATGTGATCTCTTTTATCAGACCAACTGACTTGTTGGAAAAAAGTTCTTTGCAAGCTTTCACGCACAAGCACCCTTCAAGTGAAACTATTACAGCATATATATTTAGCGTAGTAAGCTACCTTAGAGGTTCAGAATGCTTAGCTTCTACGAGATGCGAGCATTTGAGGGAGGGAAGAAAAAGGAACAGGGCTGGGCCCCCCCCCCGCTCTGTCCTGTTTTTCTCACAAGTACAAAAGGTTCTAAAGAAGCTGGAAGACAAGGTATAAATAGCTTTGCCACTAGGGCACTTTATATAATAAAGGCGGAGTATTTCCTTTTGGAAATGAAAGTTTTATTGTAACCAAGGCTGAGCTCTACCAGAGCTATCATGAATTTTTATATTTAGCAAACTGTCTGTTTGGGAATATCTGCCAGTGAATACAAACTAGATGATAATGAACTAAAAAACTTAAATTGAGGCATAAATATTTAAATTTGGACTACTTGGGAAGCCAGTGCAGAGCAGGAGCTCATCTATATCACTGTGGCAACACAGAAGACCAGTCCAGCATATTCTCAATGACTGGTTCAGTTTCTCCCAAAGGAACTGTGGAAAGGGAGAGACTGAGTTTAGGATTACAAAACCATAGCGACTCCTTTGTTGGGAACATGTGGAACGATATAATGTTTCCCATAACTTGTTGGTCTAATAAAAGATATCAAATTCACCCAAGGAACCTTGTCTTCCCATAACTTGATACACACATGAAGACACACCCATATTCCTTTCTTGCTTATATCCTTACAACTATTTTCTTGTAATACTAAATAACTGGATCTAACTGAATACATTAGCATAAACTTAATTCACACCTATCCAACAAATCAAACCAGATTACCCTAAAACTTCAGTCTGCACATTTCAACAAGGGGACAAAATACAATTATCTGTTGAAACTGCTCTAAACAACAGTAAAACTGATGTTTGAAAGACAACCTAAATAGTTTTTCCTCCCCTCCACCACAAAAAAAAAATACATCACGTTGCATTTTTTTGCTAGAAACTTTTCTTTGTATGAGAATAGTATACATCTGCAAATGGAGTCCTTCATGAGACATGGAAGAAGGAACAGATTTACTTACGTTACACATATAATTGTGCCAAGATCTTGTGACCTGAGGCAATTTCTCTTTTCTCTTCCAATTGGCGGGAGATCCCTCTCGAACTGCTTCCTGCAATTGTAGGAACATTCAGTGACAGTCAACAATTTATGCTTCTCAAAATATAGCCCTTATTTAAAATCAAGTTACTTTCTCACCTTTGATGCAATCATATATGGAGGAATTATCTCTATGTTCATTTCCTGAAACAGTTCTCTGCATTGCATAGTAATAAAGTCGCCAGCCAGAGGTGATTTTACAATGCCTACAAGAAAATTTTGGAACGTGTTTAAACGCTTATTTAATAAGCAAACAGAATATTCCCAATTTGAAATGTCCACATTTTCTTTCAGTAGGAATAATAAAACTAATTTCTTGATACCAAACATAGTATTAAGTTATCCAGCTGTGAAAACTCTTTACCTTGTTGAAGTACATATCCATCATGCACCGGAATTGCAGTGGTATGTGTTGCTCCACTATCCAAAATCAGGCCTGTCGATCGGCCATTTGCAAAGCTAGTCAGATGAGTCAAGGAGAAGAGACTCTGCATGTTTTAAAAAGTTGTCAAATATAATAAGGAACGATAACCACAGAGTTCTACTTCAAACTTTACAACCGACTTATTGTGAGCCTCCAGTAACTGTCTACAAAAAAAAGTTCCAACCTCACACAGCTGACAGGTTTTAATTTACGTTGGTGGACCAAGACCTTGTCGTGGTGGAGAGGCTTGTGTCCCCCCACCATGATGCTCAGAGCTATGTCACCAAGTCTCACGCTCCTAGCAGGGTCACCCCTGGCAAACAGGCCTGAAGGGAAGTTCCAGACAAATCATGATCCAACCCTAAGTCTTCAGCAGCAGATCAGGTGGTAGATGTCAGGATCTCAACAGCTGTAAAGGCAAAAGAAGGTTGCAGCAAGATGGAGACCTCCTGTCACCTGGAGTTCTCCCTTGCCACTAGGCCCAGATCTCCTCCACATCAAGACTGTGTCGTTGCTGTTTCTGCACACCAGCTTCTTTCTGTTAAACCAGGTCACATGCAGGCTTCTACCACAGGAAACACGCTCTCCCCTCTACCAACCTCCAAAAGCCCTGCAGTGATGAAGCAGTGGTAACAGAGATCAGACTAGAGAATCCAGTAGTCTGCAGCCACAAATCTGCGCACAGGTTGCGGTAGCCTGATGGTCATCTTGCACCTAGGTTGAGACGGGTGCAATTTGGCAGCTACCATGTCTGAGCAGTCCTATTCAGGATCCCCTCTGCTCACCCAACATGGGAAGGGGGCTAGAAAAGGTGCTCTAAACCTAAGCTGTCTCATCTGCTCCTGACTGGATAATCGTGTCCAAATAGGATCATTCTCCCTGTGGTCAAAAACAGAAGACAATGATTTTCGCAAAATGGCAAGTTTGCACCGTAATGGATAACCAAGACAACAAATGACCAGAAAGAAGAAATTCCATTGTCTCTGGGGAACTAGTGAGATGCAACATCAACACTGCAGCTCGGAGTGAGACAAGACAACCAGATGAGGGTCAGATAAGTGAAGAGGGTAAAAACTACACGTCCTGGAAGGTGAAGCCAGCTCAGGACTGAAGCACTCACAGCACTGGCTTCAACGTCAAGAATCAGCTCGTCAATCATATTACATAGCTGCCTGTGGGCGTTAACAAACATCTCATGACCCTCCGTCTTAAGCTCAGCAACAACCAGTATGCCACTGTCCTCAGTGCGTACACCCCAATCCTTGATACTGACACTGATGTTAAAGAACAGTTCTATTCCAACCTTTACCATGTTCTGAATAATACTTGCAAGGAGGACAAGATAATTCTCCTCAGGTGATTTCAACACCAGTCAGGCATACCCTAGAACTCTGGAGTGGCACCACTGGGAAGAAAGAAGGAAAGTCAACTCCAATGGCATCCTCCTCCTGAGCAAATACACGGAGCATGGTTTCACGAACACCATCTTCAGACAGAGACAAATACAAGACTACATGGAGAAACCCTCACTCTAAGCACTGGCACCTCTTTGGCTGTTATATCATTAGAGTCTATGATCAAATGGATGTCCATATCGCACGACCCATGCAAGGAACCAATGACTGTTAGAGAGATCACCATCTTGTCAGATCCACGATGAACATGCAACTTAGTCCAAAGGACTGAAAACAGCCAAAAGCAATGCAGAGGACTTTCAACATCAAGGATCTTCAACAGTCTCTTCACGAAAAGCTCTCTGCCCTGTCCATAAATGAAGGCAATGTTGAGAAACTCTGGAAGGGATTTAAAATTGCCATCCTGTGGACTCAACAACACCAAGACTGGTTCAGTGAGAGCACCACTGAGGTCCAAATCCTTCTGGACTAGAAGAGAAGGGCTCAATCTACTTGGCAAGATGACACCTCATCTCAACAGAAGAACGAGATGTATCCACTCTTAGAAGCTGAAGCTCAAAGGAGGATCCAGGAAATCAGGTGTGGCAAGATAAAGCCAAGGAGATCCAGCTCCGTGCTAACAAACATGACATGCATAGCTTTTTCCAGGCAACAAAAGCCACATACAGCCCAACTTTCCATGCTCCTACTTTCTTGCGATTGCAGGATGACTTTTCGGCTCCTCAAAGACAATGAAACTATCCAAGCTAGATGGAAAGAGCACTTTAAGGCAGGCTCCTTAACCATGATTCAAATGGTATGGATATCAACATTGAGTCCATCCCTGAACACCCTGAAAGGGGATCCCTTGCCAATCCTCCTATCCTACGAAAAGTCTGGTGTGCCATCAAGAAAACCAAGAACAACAAGGCTACTGAACCAAACTGGCATGCCTGCTGAAATCTACAAGACCGATGGCAATTAGCTGGTGCACAGACTCCACAAATTTATTCTTCAAATTTGGAACAACAAAGAATTCCCTAGGTATCTGAAGAATACCAATACCATGACAATCTTCAAAATAGGAGAAAAATCTGTGTGTGGGAACTATAGAAATATCCTCCTCCTTTCCACAGCAGGGAAAATCCTTAGCAAGAGGAAGAAAATGATTCAGGAGGACATAGGAGAGGAAAGTCCTGCCAGAATCTCTGTGTGTTTTCAGACCGTCCCGTGAGGCAAATGACATGATCTTTGTTGCCCACCGGATCCAAAAAAGCATCAGGAACAACATCAGGACCCATATATGGGCTTCACTGACCTTACTAAGGCCTTTGATTCTATCAATCACAAAACCCTGTGGAAAGTACTGGCCAGATTTGGATGCCCTGAAAAGTACATCAAGGTCTTGAGGCTTTCCTACTATCAGATGTCTGAAACATTCTGCGTAGCAGATTAGAGAGACATCCATTCGTCATGCAAACTGGGGTCAAGCAAAGATGCATCACCACCCCAACTCTCTTCTCCATTTATTTGATAGTCATCATGCTTCTCAATAAGGATCACCTTCCTTCTGGAGCTGACACTGAATAGATGAAGGATTCTTCAATCTGGGACATTTTCACTCACAGACCAAAGTATTCAAACAACCATCCTTGACTGTCAATATGCTAACAACTGGGCCATCCTTGCACACACTGAGGAAAGCCTCCAGACTGCACTGGATCTCTTCAGAAAAGCTTACCAAACTTCGGGCCTCTTTCTCAACATTGGTAAGACTAAAGTGCTTCATCAGCCTGCCCAGGCCATGAATGTGACCTCCCCCTCCCCCCCACTTCCAAATTACCATCAACAGAAAGACCCTACGGGTAGTTGAGCAATTCCCCTACCTCAGTAGCCACCTCTCAGAGTGAACACTGATGTGGAGATCTAGCACAGGATCCGGTGCACAAGTGCCTCCTTTGGCAAATTGCTTTGGTGTGTCTTTATTCATCACAATCTCTGGAAAGACACCAAGATCCGGGTCTGCAATGCAGTCATCATCCCTGCTCTTCTCTACAGCTGTGAAACATGGGTGACTTACTGTTGTCATCTCACGAGCCTGGAGAAGTATCACCAATGATGCCTACAGAAAATTCTCCACATCAAATAAGAAGGTTGCTGCACAGATGCCAGTATCCTCACTGAAGCCAATATTACTGGCGTTGAGTCAGTGATCCTCAAGCACCCATTTTGCTGGACTTGACGTTGTGTGTATTCACCTGACTCCTGATTCCCAAAACAAATGCTCTATCCCAGCTTAGTAACAGCCCAAGATCTCATGATGGCCTGAGGAAACGCTGTAAGGACACTTTGAAGGCATACCTCAAGAAAACAGACGCCGACATTGAAGAGCTGGGAAGAGCTGGCTGCCAACCAACTCTAATGGCACCACAACCTCAACCAGGTGGCAGCCCGTTTTGAGGTAAAACATCCTGTCCTCAAAGCAGGGGAGAGAGAGCAGAAGGAGGAAAAGGAGAGGATTCTCATCCTGCAGCCTACTTTCCCTTGTGAAATGACCTGCAGCTTCTGTGGGCGATCTGTGGCTCAAGGATTGGACTTCTAAGTCGCTTCAAGGCTCATGAATAAGTCATAACAGAGATCTTCCTCAAAAATCGAGGGATTGCCGATAAGAACAAATAATAATAATAAAAAAAATACATACCAACCTCACAGATGATGGGTTTTAATTTACACTGGTAAACTGCTCTGAGGGTTGAATGAAAGTGATAGAAATTCTGTGTCATACCAAGTAGAAATCTTTAAATAAAATGCTTCCAGCTTACTTGGATTTTGAACTGCTGCTCAAAAAGGTAGATGTTATTAATTTAAGATATTTATAACACTGCTGGTTGAATGTCTTCAATCTCAGATATCGGTTGTGGGAGACAGGAATTAAGCACTTCCATTACCCGAGAAAGCCATTTTAGGTATAGTGTTACATGCAGCATATGATATAAATCTGTAAAAGTTATTTCCCAGAATAGTTTCAGCAGATTTATAGAACTGAACACTAAGGTGACAGCACAAATGGAAGCTATTTCCTGAATATCAGTTATTACGGGAATCTATTTTGATGAGAAAAAAAGTATAGGCATCTTATTCTACTAATACCCACGTTTAATAAGATTTCAGTAGGTCCTGAAAAACTGTGTAGACCAACATTTCAAGGATACGCTGTCAGGACTGCAGTTTTACACAAGAAAAAAGCAGGGATGTTGTAATGTTCAAACATCAGTTCTGTCAATTTCTCGCGCTTTGCCCTGGTATTCCACTGGAAAAGTGGGGTAAGCAAGCAAAACAGAAATAATGAACCTCTCAAGAGTCATTATGCTTATTACGGTCTGTTCAGAGTGCCAACAGATGTTAAGAAAATCAAGATTATTAAAACTGAAGCTTATGTAACTTCGCATCTGGTCTTAAAGCAAGATAATTATGTTTTTCTGTAGCAGGATTGGAGGGCTGTAGCCATGATGGTCCAGGAAGTGTGCGAGAAACAAGGGTTTTTAAGGGTGATATCCAACTGTACAGGTGGGAGAGAGATCAGACAAGCTTTGGGCCTAAAGTGTCCTTCTTCAGGCCTGGAAAAGAAGCAAATGCAACCTGAAGCATCTAAATCAGGGCCATCCAGCTTTTAAGTGGCTGGAGACCACATGCCATGCAAGCCAAACAACCCACCTGCTGCACCAGCATAAGCCACAGGCCTCTCACTGCATCTCGCCACAGAAGTGAAGCCACAGGCTCCCGACAGCACCACACCACATGGGCATCCTGGCCTCACCTTCAGGCCACTGGCTGCAGTCTCATGCTGCCCCACCCCTGACGTGGGGGCAGCAAGTAAAAACTGAAGGAAGGAGAGGGAACCTGGAGAGCTCAGCTGCAGCAGCAGTGATGGAAAGAAGGGGGAGAGTTGGGTGGGAGCCTGGGGGCCACAAATTAAACTTTTGCAGACCACATGGGCCACAGGTGGCCAGTTTGACAGCCCTGATCTAAATAAACACTTACCTTACACCACACTTGCTCCTTTCCTGGACCTGAACAAGGACACTTTGTGCCCAAAAGTTTGTCTAACATCTGTCCCATTTGTGTATATCAGGAATTTTATTTCCTTAGAGGAGTGTTCAGTTTTTATATTACAAAACTTTTTATTTTCGATTTGCTTAATTAAAAGGACTTTCTGAAAAATTTATTTTTGATAACAAGCAAAAGTTCAATTTTAAAACTCTGCAAATGAAAATTCTTTCTAGAGCTCAGTGCACGTGCAACCCCTCACAGCAGCATTCCCTGCTCAGGCGGCAGGCGGGGGGGGCAGGCGGGAGCGCTGGTGTCCCTCCCCTAGAGCACCAGCCGTGGAGCAGGGGTGCCAGGAGAAGTCCCACTGGCCCTTCTGGGCATGTCCCTGGCCCTTCTGGGCATGCTGCTGGCACTTCCAGGCAGCATTCCCTCTTAGAGCCACCTTAGAGGGAACACTGCTTCAGGGTTGCTGCACACAATCAGCTGCGGGCAACCCAGCACCCCAGTCACTGACTGGCCGCTTAGGGGGCAAGTGCCCCCCACCCCCAACTCAGGAGGCACCAGTCACCCATGCTAGAGCTCATTCCATGAGTTTCAAAAATTTTCATGAAACTGAATTAAGGTCCAAAAATAAATTTGTAATGTAAACATATACTGAAATGTGAAAGGGAAAGAAATTAATTCAAATTTTCCAGTTCCCAAGGTATCTTTCCATAGCTGTGCTTGTACTTAATTTAAGCAGAGACAACAACCACATGCCAAGTCACACCTGAATGTTGAGTCCCATTTTACTGAATAAAATCTCCTAAACCAGTTTTTAAGTTAGTTTAGCTCACTTAAAAATGTGCGTCTTACCACAAATTTGCCCTGCACCCTCCCCAAGTGCTACCTTGATCCCCTTCCTACATCCCTCTGCTGTTCTGCTTTCTGCCCCATCTGCCCCTGTGCTGTGTCACCTCCCCAACCTACCATGTGCCACACAGAAGCTGCCCATGCCCCTTATGGCACCTATGCCCTGGGTTGGCTACTCCTGGTTTAAACTATACTTAACACAGTCCAGTCTGTGGAAGATTTTTTGTTGCATCATTTCCCATTCAAGTTGGTTTTCAAAAGTTGTTGTTGTTGTTGAAGAACAGCGTGTCAGTGGGACAAACTGATAGACGGTTCCACGATACAGTGGATACCAGTCCACTGAGAAGTAGACCTCCGCCAAGAACCCCATGACAGCCACGCAGCAACAACTCAATACACCACTGAAAGGCCCTATTTGGAATGACTGTTATCAATGAAGGATACATTCATTATAGACACCTTCTGTGGTTTCTATGCATATTCCTACTTCCTGCCATTTTAATCCAGAGAACAGCAAGTAGGAGAACTGCTGCCAATATCTCTACTTAAATTCACATACCTCCAGTTCTCCAATGACCTAGAAGGCCATGCAGATTACCCTAGAGAACCAATTTAAAGCCTTTCTATTATACGTATGTTGCCTCTCCCCTGTTCTATTTCTGCAGGGCTGCCTGAGCCTGACAGATTATTTTCAATGGCATTTTTATTTTTAGTACATATAGGAGAAGAACACCTAAAACATTTCCACTTTTATCCCAGTAAAACACAAAAAAAGGCTCAAAACTAAATACATACAAAAATGCAGATCAAATAATTGTAGAGAATGGGTGTAGTGTGCTATGCCACATAAACATGGTTATCATTTCACATTACTGAGAACAACAAAAAATACAAAAAATAAATCTATCACGATAAAGTATTTTCAAATTACTTGGTTTTGATTTTTTTTTATAGTATTAAACATTTCTAAATGACAACGGAATTTAAGCCACTTCAAAAGAGAGAGAAATTATTTTTACTCACTGGTGCTTCTGACATTAGGACAGGATGCAAACTCGCTTCAGATTTAATGTGCATCTTGTACGTATGATCCAGAATTGCCTGGAAACTATCCCAGTCTTCAACTACAAACATTACAGCAGGTGGAGTAGTTCAATTAACAGTGACATTTGACTTCAAGTAAAATGTGTAATAAACACACACAACAGAAAGACATAACTTTTATCAAGAAGATCAAGCAGTAATCAGCAAAATTCACAAACTGCAACAGCTTTAAGAAATCTTGTTTATATGACTCATCATCATAACAGCTGGCAAGTAGATTTGCAGCATGACCTTTAAGACTGTACTTCACACTATTAGCAAACTTGGTAGCCATCATTAGGAGCTACAAGCTTCCTTACTGGTGCGTTTGAAGAGCAAGTCTTCACGCTACTCTTTACAAATATTTGCCACCCTTTTTTTCCCCCAGATGGGGTCTAATCCAGTCCACCAAATACAGGAAAACTCTACAGTTTTTCCTCAGATCAAGCAAACGCTCACTGCCTCACTAAGCAGCTTCTTCATAAAATGCATATATGACACATTACTGTTTCGCATGCAAAAGGCATAACTGCCATAGCCGTACATTAAGTTAGCAATCAGATCTTAAAAGCAAGAGGAAAAGGATAGAGCACCATACTCATTCCATTTTTTAAGGGCGAAATGGCTTCCATGTTTTCCCTTGGGACGCGCAGTGCATTGGTGTCTATGTAGTAAGTGGGGCCCCCTTGTTTGCCTTTATCACCATCTATCTCCATCAGCGTGCTGCCATCGTCCCTCTCCAGTACCACACCAATCGCTGTGGGAAAATCAACCTGAAATGTGAACACACATTTGCTCGCTCATAGACTTATAGAAAATTAGGGTTAAGAGAGACCTCGGGCGGTCACATCTAGTCCCATCCCCAAGATCATCCCAACCAAAGCTCTGTCTAGCCAGGCCTTAAAACCCCCACAAGCATGGCGCTTCCACCACCTCTCTGGGTAACCCGTCCCAGTGTCTGACTCCCCTCCTAGCAAGACATTTCTTCCTAATATCCAACCTTGAATCCCCTTGCTGCAACTTCAAACTGTTGCTCTTCATTCGGTCATCCACCACTGCCTACATCAGCGGTTCCCAAACCAACCACCTGTTTAAAACGATGTGCCGCCCACAAATTTTTCAGCTCGACCTTCGGTACCGCCAGCTAACGCGTGTCACGTCAACTCGTTATCGTGAATAATGACACAAAGTCATTTATCCCAAGGAGTCGTTATAATGAATAATCATTTCACAAATAATCACATGAAGTCATTTATCACATGAAGTTGTAATAGTGAATAAAGTCGTTATAATGAATAATCACATGAAGTTGTAATAGTGAATAAAGTCGTTATAATGACTAATCATATCACAAATAAACACATTAATTAATTATCCCATCAAGTTGTTATAATGAATAATCACGTGAAGTAATTTATTCCATAGCATCATTATAATGAATAATCTTGCGAAGTCGTTATAACGTATAAAGTCGTTATAATGAATGAAGTCATTATCACATGAAGTCATCACAATAAACGTGTCGTGGTGCCAGTGACAGATTTCATAGACGTTCGGGCTGGAAGGGACCTCGGAAGATCATCGAGTCCAGCCCCCCGCCCAAAGGGCAGGAAGTCAGCTGGGGTCATAGGATCCCAGCAAGATAAGCATCCAGTTTGC